AGTCTCCCGCGAAAATCGGGAGGGTTGGCAAGTAGGCTATGTCACATACACACGCACTTTTTGCCCCCCCCCACTTCTGAAATGAATCCGGCGCCGCTGGCTTACACTTGATGTGGTTGACCACAGATACCACCGTGCTGAGAACGGACTGTAGCTCAGGACTCAATGATTTTGACGCCGGAGCCTGCCTGTGCAGCATAGGTAGCTATCATCATTGGATTGCGCTCCTTGGCACGAGCAACCACCCCACTCTTGCGTCCGGTAATCCGTTTAAATCGCAATGCAATTCTCCCAACTCACATTGCCAGTCTCCATGAACATATCCAGTGCTGGAATTGGGCCGGTACTCACCGGTACGCAGTACCGGCACTTCTGGTTCTGACCCATGGAGTACCGGCACTTCTTGCTCAGTACCGGCATGCTGGCGGTACTCCGGTACTCATGCACCGTGCCAGTACTCAACACTCTCCCGCCGTTCTTATTATACATCCATATATATATATACAGCCGCCCGGTACTCAGTAGATGCGTCATGAGGTGCCGAACGGACATTCTCATCGCTCTAACCGCTGGAGTTTCACAGCGGCTGTCAGCTGTTTACTCCTGTCATTCAAACAGAACGTGCTGGAGAGGGGGCGGGGCTTATCTTCTCCATGTAAATACTGTGGTGGAAACGACTATGTCAAAATTAACCTATTTGACCGTGATTTAATAGTAATACACGTTTCAAAATAATAATAATAATAATGCCGAAGTAACAACATACTGAAAACTGTTAGTAAAACCATGTTTTAATGCTTTACAATTTACATACCTAGATGCACGTGTGTTGTGTTTATGCAGTGCAACTCCCACCCAGTGGGTGGCTATGTAGAGTGATAGAACAGAGCAGGCACGCCCCCGAGAGAAGGAAAGCAAGTCACGTCACAAATTAGCATTTCTAAAATGTTAGCGTGGATTAATAAAAGTGCAAAAAGACAGCGGTTGTCGCCGGAAGAAACTTCAAATACAGAGAATGCTGTGCCTGTGTTGGAAATTGTGTCTGATGGGGAGCTTTCTTTGGTTGATCCTCCTGCTCCAAGTTCTAGTGCATTAGCATTAGCACTAGCTCCGCCGCCTCCTCCAGAGCCTCTAACGTTAGCTGCTGCTGGCGCAACTGCCACCACCAACACCGGGCAAAGCGATGCACCTGACTGCTGGACAACGGACCAGGTGCAATATTTTTGCAAGACCAATGCATGGCTCCTTCTTAAAGATAAGAAGCTAGGATGTCGGATATGCAGAGATGTCAAATCTTTGGGAATACACACTGGACAAGGACTGAAACTGTCAACTGAATGGGGTGAGTGTGCAGTGTCTCATTTCGGTGTTGACAAGGGCAAATAACAAGCTAGCCTGAGAAAAAAATCAAAGAACATAAAGAATCACAAGCCCATGTAAAAGCTGCTGACATCCTTACATCTGCTTCACGTGAAACTATTCAACATCAAGTGCAGTCTATGCATAAATCTGAATTAGACACCACTATCAGAGTTTTTCGAACGGCATATAAAATTGGCAAACATAGCCGGCCATTCACAGACATGCCAATTGATTTGAATGTACAGAAACTGAATGGGCTGAACGTGGGCAGGGTTTTGCACTCCAATAAAACCTGTGGCGAAATCATCGACCACATAGCTCATGAGCTGAAGAAAAAAATGGCAAAAGACATTACAGAAAACCAAAGAAAACTCTGTGTTTTGGTCGATGAATCTACCACTATTAGTGGTAAAACGGTGCTTGTTGTGTGTCTACGCTCAGCATTAGCTGATGCTGAGCCCGAAACGTTTTTTTGGGAGCTGATCGAGTTGGATGGAACAACGGCTGATGACATCACAAAGGCGTTAATGGAGTGTCTTGGAAGAGATTTTAACGAGGACTTTTTAGGTCAGTGTTTCGTTTATTTTGCATGTGATGGGGCTTCAGTCATGCTAGGGAAGAGAACAGGCGTTGCTACCCAGTTGTGTAGTAAATTCCCAAGCCTGTTTGTGTGGCACTGCTCCAATCATCGTCTAGAGCTGGCAGTTGGGGATGTGGTCAAGGAGGTCTCAGGGCTCAATCATTTCCAGATCTTTTTTGACAAACTCTATTCCTTGTTCCATGCCTCCCCCAAAAATCAGAGGCAGTTAGCGCAGTGTGCGCAAGCAGTCGGACAGCGTCTCCTGGTGATAGGGCGTGTTTTGTCCATCCGCTGGGTGGCTTCAAGTGAAAGGAGCGTCAGAGCAGTCTGGGAAAACTACCGAGTGCTTCATGATCACTTCACAAATGCTGCAAACGACACGAGCAGGGATTCCAGAGACAGAGCAAAGTACAAGGGCCTGGATGATGTGCTCACATCTGCAACGTTTGTCAGCAATCTGGGACTGATGTACGATGCGCTCACAGAGCTCAGCGACCTCCCTCGGCAACTCCAAAAAAGAGAGATGACACTGCCTACAGCAGATAGGCTCTTAACTCGAGAAATACGAGTTTTTGAATCCATGGTCACCATGCCTGGCTCACACATGACTACAGTTCATACAGCTCTAGCTGAGAAGTCCTTCAAGGGTGTTTGCCCTGCGTGAGAATGGCAGGCTTGTACAGATTCATGCAGGTCAGTTTTTCCGCCAGTATGGTAGAGAATCTGAGACACAGAATGACTTCCACAACCTCCTCTCATGTCAGCACAAGAGAAATCCCATTACATGGCCGGGAGGCCCGGGACAATCAGCTAATCCAGGACATGAAAGTTATCCATCCTGGAAGTTGGCCTGAAGAGGAGTTAGACGTACAGTATGGGGACGTAGAGGTGCTACGTTTGTGCGAAGTGCTGAAAGTGGACAGAAGAGAGACTGTTCAGGGCTTTCGCGAATACAAGGAAACCAGGGCATCCCGTACACCTGCTGCCATGGAGCCTCTACTGAAAGCAGTCCGAACCATCGCTGTCTCCACTAGTGAGTGTGAGCGGGCATTCAGCTGCATGAACGATATCCTTACTGCAAAAAGGAATGCTCTCTCTGTCAGCCGACTGTCCAGCCTGGTTTTCATTAAATGTAATGGACCATCACTAGGACAGTTCAATCCGGAACAGTATGTGAGGTCCTGGCTGGCAAAGGGAAGGAGAAGTGCTGATGAAAGAGCCTGTCCAGCTCCAGCCCCTGATACTGATGTCCCCAAGGCCTTCTGGAGCCTTTTCTAACAATGTGAAGTATATTGCAAAGCAGCTCACCCAGTGAGAAGACTTTTGGCATAATGTGCCGATTTGTACAGATCCTGGCGATAGAAGGACTTCAGACCAACCAGGGAGTTATCTGATCAGCTTGGTGTTCAATGTAACTCTTTACCATGGCTCAGACTTTGTTACTTGCAGTTACAGTTTCTCATTTTAGATTGTGCAAATTTTGCATGTGTTTTTACATGTTCTTTGTTCATGCTCTTTATCATTTTTCTGAGTTGGAAAGTTAGATTGCATCATAGTTTACTTTATACATATTTGTATTCTTCAGTGGTGAAGTATATTGCAAAGCAGCTCAGCCATGTGAGAAGACTTTTGGCACTTTTTCGTTTTTCGTTTTCTGAGTTGGAAAGTTAGATTGCATTCAAAATGTACAGAAATACTTAATTTTGTTAAAGCTTTTTATAAAAAATGCTTCTGACCAGAGCTTTGTTTCCTTGTCATTAATGTTGAACACCACCAGAGGGGCTCTCACCTGAAAGGTCTCTGCTTCATGTGTCTTCAGCAGAAGATCTAGACTTTGATTGCTATATTTTCAGTTAATATTGACCTTACTGAGCTTTAGCCATATCCGCTGCCTATCATAAAAAATGTTAAGTACAGTGAACCTTTCTAAAATATACAGTAGTAAAGAGACAAACCCACCAGCATTATAGTAGCCAAATTCTTGTTTGTGGGCTGTATATATAAAATTGACTTGAAAAAGTTGCTGATTTTAGAGTACTGGCACGTTTTTCATTCCAATTCAAGCACTGAACATATCTACAACATTGAAAATCTCCTCACTTGTTGCTCGCCCCCTCAACTCTTGACAAAATAAAAAATCTTCCTGAATCCTTCCTTCCCACGGGTAGCGAACCAGCGCGATGAGCTGCGCAGAGCCGGACACATCAGTGGACTCATCCAATTGAACCGCGAATTTAGACCCTCTCAGTCTTTCCAGCAGTTGTGATTTGATATCAGCAGACATGTCCTCAATTCGTCGTCTGATGGTGTCATTTGACAGAGGTACACTTCTCAATTTGGCAGCCGCATCTTTCCCCACCAGGTGACCGCACTGTGCGGGACTGCACACACAGCATTTTTGTGTGTCGCGCAGAAAAGCCGGATCGGTTCGCTGACGGCCGGGTGTTTCGGATTAACTGGTTCCCCGATCAACTGGTTTACAGAGGTGGGGGGGCGTGGCCTTCGACTGAAATACACATTTCGATCGCTTCTTCTGTCATTTACATAAATCTTTTGGTATATTTGGCTCGGTAGGAAGACTTTGATGCATATTCAGTACCAGTGTGTGAGGTTGTGGTTACGATGGCGATATCCGGACGCGAACAGCGGGGACTACAAAAAGAAAAACGAGTTGACAGGGGATGTCTGTTCAAAACATTGCGAGCTCGAATAAATCATTTAAACCAGCTATTGTTGCCAGACTTATCACTGAATATCGTTCTTAATGTGATACCAAGTCCATCTGAGACATGTGTACACCTTCAGACAGCCTCCAAGTGAAGCGTAGGGCCTACGTTGTTAACTCACAGTTTGAAAGCAGCGTGGAGAAGTCTTCAGCCGTGGTAAGCTGTGATCCGCACTACACCACTGATTAAAAGTAAATGTTTCTGATGTTTGAGAAGCGATGACCTCCTCCATAAATTCTTATCTGCCTGTGGTGACTGTACTGATAACTTTATAAACAAATACTGCAGTAAGGTCTCTGTTTTTGTTTATTTGTGTCCCCCTCTCACTTCAGTTTGATGTAGTTTGTGACAGGAGTGGTTTGATCGAGGCGTCCCAGTCCATCTCCATGGCCGGAGTTCTGGTTGGAGCGCTGGCTTATGGGGCGATTTCTGACCGGTAAGAATCCAAAACACATCCACCTTTTTGTTTGTCTATTTTTTCTTTAAATCTAATTATTATTAATAATATAAATAATGATGTATTTATCTATGCACGTATGTTATTATCACTATTTTAGAAAATAACAAAAATAATCTATAAGATAAGATAAGACTTGATTTATCCCGAAGGAAATTGTTGTGCCAGAGCCATACAAATACAACAAACACAGCAGCATGATAATAATATTAAAACTGTACACTAAACGTGCAATTACATATCTACAGGAAACAGACGGTCACATAATTAATGTAACTATTAACAGTCTTTAGTAGTGCAAATAAACGCAGTGGCAGATACGTAATTGCACGTTATCATAGCACATTGTTAACAATAATAATATTGCACATGTCATATAGCAGCGAGTGTTTTGTAATGATGGTAATTGTAAGGGAAACTTCTGTGTAGTAGCAATGCAGTGGGAGTCACCGACTCAGGAAAGAGACACGGGTAGAGCAGGAGCTTTGATGTCAAACACTGATGGTTTATTTGGAGCTTCGGCCGGAGAATTCACATCACAAGTCACAGCAGCCACGATCTGACTGCACGGTAGAGTTGCCACGTCAATTCTGAAGAACTCTACCCCAGACCCCTGTATTTAGCTAGTTCCGAGAGCATCATCAACATGCTGCATAACAAGATAAAATCATAACACCTATCAGCTGACGTCAACAGGCAGGAACATAGAATCATAACACCTCTATCAGCTGACGCCAACAGGCAGGAACATAGAATCATAACACCTCTATCAGCTGACGCCAACAGGCAGGAACATAGAATCATAACACCTCTATCAGCTGACGCCAACAGGCAGGAACAGGGAGACAAAACACCTCTATCAGCTGACGCCAACAGGCAGGAACAGGGAGACAGAACACCTCTATCAGCTGACGCCAACAGACAGGAACATGGAATCATAACACCTCTATCAGCTGACGCCAACAGACAGGAACATAGAATCATAACACCTCTATCAGCTGACGCCAACAGGCAGGAACATAGAATCATAACACCTCTATCAGCTGACGCCAACAGGCAGGAACATAGAATCATAACACCTCTATCAGCTGACGCCAACAGACAGGAACATAGAATCATAACACCTCTATCAGCTGACGCCAACAGGCAGGAACATAGAATCATAACACCTCTATCAGCTGACGCCAACAGGCAGGAACAGGGAGACAAAACACCTCTATCAGCTGACGCCAACAGGCAGGAACAGGGAGACAGAACACCTCTATCAGCTGACGCCAACAGACAGGAACATGGAATCATAACACCTCTATCAGCTGACGCCAACAGACAGGAACATAGAATCATAACACCTCTATCAGCTGACGCCAACAGACAGGAACATAGAATCATAACACCTCTATCAGCTGACGCCAACAGACAGGAACATAGAATCATAACACCTCTATCAGCTGACGCCAACAGGCAGGAACATAGAATCATAACACCTCTATCAGGTGACGCCAACAGACAGGAACATGGAATCATAACACCTCTATCAGCTGACGCCAACAGGCAGGAACAGGGAGACAGAACACTGAGAGCACAGCAGCCAAGGTTACGAGGTGCGTGTGCTCAGTCAGGACAGTTTGAACTGATAAACTGGGTCAAAGTTATGGGCCTTGGAAAACAGTAATGATATTTATATTGCACATAGCAGAGATGGGGACTCGAGTTTGTGACTCGGACTCGAGTCGCACTTAAGTCGCACACACAGAGACTTCAGACTTGACTTGGACTCCTGCTCAAAAGACTTCGGACTCGACTTGGACTCGTGTTTTGGGACTCGTGAACAATCATTGTGTTTTCTATTTTTGGCGTATTAAAGGTGGGGTATGTAAATTTGAGAAACCGGCTCGAGATCGCTAGAATTTGAAAATACACAACCGGAGAAAATCTGCCACTTCCTCACAGAGCCCCTCCTCCAACACACACGAACGCGCACATGACCAATGAGGGCACGAGATCAGTTTGTGCCCCGATGGAAGGCTGATAGGCAGGTAGGCCATCCAGTTATTTTAGCCGGGCCGGCTATCGGGATGTTAAGAGCATTCCATGGAATATAACAAAAAGTGTATCTCGAGCCGGTTTCTCAAACTTACCTACCCCACCTTTAACATTAACATCATGGTAACACCATGGCGACCGGCGGCACACCTGCAGCTGTACCGCTTGTAATTAGGTTCAACTATAAAAACTTCGAACAAAACGCCGGCGGCACCAACAGAAGGAGCGCACACTGCAAAGTCTGCAATATTAAAATCGAGGATGCTGGTGCAACAACGTCAAATTTCATCAGGCACTTGAAAACTCACCCGGAGAGGTCAGTCACATTAACGCATATGGACGGTTAGCAAACATGTTTAGCTCAGCATCAGCTATGTAATGTTAACTTAGCTTGCTACTAGCTTTGTAACTGAATATTTGAAAAGATGAGTGAATGTTTGCTTGTCACACTTGTTTGCGTTGAGTGGCGTTGACATCCAACTCTTGACATGACATAAAAAAGGTCGGTAACGTTAATCATTACATGGCTAACGTTAAAAGTAGAAAAATACATAGTTACATACATACATACATCTGTCGGTTTATAGGCAGGTTACAGGTTTATTGTTGACCACGTAACGTTAATGTTACAGGTTTATCAGGTTACCATTACACTGGGTTTGAGTGAGAGGATAGAGGAATATGTTTATTTATAGTAGACTTAAAAGATGTAATTAGAGACCCAGTGTAATTAAACAATATGGTTGCAGAGGTCACATTTTAACATTTTTGTCCACTGGCCAAATGGCTAGCCTAGTGAATGTTGAAATGTTACCAGCCACTCAATAGATTGCCATTGTTATGTTTGGCTGGTGCGTGCAACATACAGTACCAGCCACTTGCATGATTTACCAGCATTTGGCTGGTAAATGGTGTTAATGGTAGATATCTCTTTTGGAACAGGTCATGTTTTAATATCACCAGTTCAGTATATTTCAGATAATATTGCAGCAATAGTTTTTTAGTTGCAAATGGCACAGAACAAATGTTTACTTTGAAGTACTTTTAACACAGTTTCCCTGCGGGGGATTAATAAAGTATTTGTGATACTGATTTCTGATTCTGAAGTGTTTTGCTTATAAGTTGTTTGCATTTAGCTAAAGTGTGATGTTTTTCCTCATATTGCATTGCAATAGCCTGTTTAAAGTGATCATATAACAAACAACTAATCAGTACTGATACTGTATGCTAATAGATATAGGAGTGATAATAATACAGTCAATGCTTTGAATGTCTTAGATATAGCTGTGCAGTATTCTTAACAGACTGGATAGCAGCAGACAATAGAAGGCTTATTACAACCAGAAGAGACATGAGACTTTTATTTTTTAGAGACTTGAGACTTGACTTGGACTCGTGACCAAAGACTTGAGACTTGATCAAGTCTCACCCCACAAAGACTTGAGACTTGACTTAGACTCGTGACCAAAGACTTGAGACTTGACTTGGACTTGCAAAAAAAGACTTGTGAACATCTCTGGCACATAGTGTTGGTGTGGAAGTTCTCAGTTCCCTTTACTGAAGGGTGACGAGTTAAAGAGTTTGATGGCCACAGGGTGGAAAGACCTCCTGTGGTGCTCCGTGGTGGTTAATCTTATCTGTAGTTTATATCGTGTTGAGGTGAAAGCATACGTCTTCTCTCCTCTCCCTGCAGGTTTGGACGGCGCTTCTCGATCCTGCTCTGTGTTTCTCTCCTCCTGTTCTTCAGTGTTGGTTCAGCTTTCTCCCCCAACATCTACGTTTACATGTTTTTCAAATTTCTCTGCGGCACCTCGAGTATCAACCTTCAGATGAACATATCTGTGATGGGTAGGTTTGTTCTTCCCATCATCATTAGCTATTTTACCTGTTAGGCCCCAAGCCTGTTTTTCAGGTCTCAAGCTCGAAAATGACATTTCCAGAACAAATGACCATATCTTCCCTTCTAAAAGGGGAAAATTAATAATCTTTTTTCTCAAAGTAATGATAAACCTGTGAGTTGGATGTAGAAAAGTCAGAATCAATATAGATGTTTTTTATTTTAAAGAAAATTCAGATTGAACATAGTAAAAAAATGTAAATTATAGTGTCTGTCCAAAAATACTTTTTTACTTATAGTGAAAACTACCCTTGGATGATGGGTTAGTAGACTAAAAGCTTTAGGAATCCAAAGTACAACATATAATAAGTACCCTGTATCAAGATTGATGCAAAACAAGTGAAGTTTGACCTTTTTAGAGAGATTTAGCAAAAGAAAAACACTTCTGGGGTCATTTGGGTGGATTTTTCATATCTCTGGCCCCCCTTGGTCGATTTTGATGATTGACACCTCTTTCTAACCGTCAGAGCCAATGGAATCGAGGGAAGTTCCACATACACACACAGTTTACCAAATAAGGAATGATAGTGACGCGTAGAAAAACCGGAAGCTGCGCTAGCCTCTGGTGGCTACCATTATTAGCTAATTTTGATTCTCCGTTTTTTGCATAAAAATGGAATTATGGATTATCAATAATTTGTTTGACACTATATTTATAGCTGACACTTTTGTGAGTGATGTTGGATGGAAAGGCCATCTCGTGTCACATCAAGGTTCACCAAAGAAGTAAAGATAGGACAGGAAGTAGCAGCTTGGTTTAACTTCAGGTGGTGCACGGACATTATGTTAGATATTAAATTATTACAGATATTAAGGGACAGAGGACACTGAGCTGGCAACCTCTACTAAACTCAATTTTCACTCCAAAATGAAACGTAAGAATAGATTAAATCCCAATATGCTCACTTTCAGCTGGTCTGCTCTTGTCATTGATGAAACTGATCTATTAGACACGACTGTCTATAAAATTGTAATGATTGTATTACATGCATTTTACTAAACAGACTGTACGTGGTTTGTCATGCTTTGCTTTCGGTTATTTTGTTCATGTATGTCTGTAAGACGTTGCTTTTGTCGGGACCCCCTTGAAAACGAGATGGTGCTTCTCAAGGGGTTTATCCTAATAAATAAAATGTCTATATATATCTGTGTTACAGGGGTGGAGTGGACTGGTCCCTCTTACGCTGCTCGTTTCACAACAATCACCTTAACGTTCTGCGGTGTGGGACTGACCTTACTGTCGGGCATCGCCTATTTAATCCGCGATTGGAGGATCCTGCAGCTGGTGCTCTTCAGTCCTCTTCTAGTCCTCTTTGCAGTCTATTACAGGTCAGCAGTAACACTCGCGATAAGAATGGTTTGAATTATAACAAGTAAAAGTGTGTGATTTTGATCCTGTGTGTCTTCAGGCAAGGCAAGTTTATTTATATAGCACATTTCAACACAAGGCAATTCAAAGTGATTTACAGAAATGAAAGACATTGAGCATTAAGAAACAAATTATAAAATGGCATTTAAAAACACATTTAAAAGCAAAGATAATAAAGCATGAATAACAAAGGAACATGAATTAAAGTGACAGTGCAGTGTGAGATACACACATTTGAAATATTTAGCTCTGACTCTCAATCATTGCTAACCTTTTAGCAGAAATAGTTTTCTTTGACCTCACTTTCTTTCTACTTTATTTTTTAACTTATCATTTAGTTATGTCAAGTGTTTCATGCTAAACGAACCCCGCTTTGGATAATTCTAATCTGCAACCCAATATTCCAAAAATTCAACGAATCCAGTGGCGTTTCTATATGTACAAAAGTGGTGTGGCACAAAACACTTAGATGTCTATAAGCTTCTGGCACTGACTCTTCAGGTTTACAAATATTATATTTTGACCTAAATCAAAATATAATATTATTTTCAAAAGCCTCTTTAGTCTGATGCTTCAATTAATATTAAACAGACAGTTCAACAGAAGGATACCCAAAAAATGTAATTTTATCATTTACATATTGAATTGTTCTCTCTTAGTAAGATCCCATTTTCAATAAAATGGTGGTCTTACCTTGACTTGAAGATGAAGTCCATTTGCCTATCCTTCTGGACAAAAATCTCTATTACTTTTTTGTAAAAGTCCTCCTTATCTTCTTGTAGTTTCAAAAATCTAAATGATGGATTTATGATTCGAAAATTATAAAAGTAGGGTAGACATGTGGATATTATCCGGCTGAACAAAACGTACATTTATCTAACAGCTACGTTTCCCACAGATCTTATTTTGAGCTATTTTCTAAAATCCTATGGAGAAATCTCATTGCTTTTTTGTGGAGGGAAGCCATGCGCAGCTTACTTCCTGGTTTTAGGACGCGTCTCTCTCCTCCTCTTCACCTGCTCTTCACACACCACACTTTTCGCGGCACACATACTTACAGCCAATCAGCTCTGAATTATGTGAGATGACGTATGGTGGGGATGGCAGCTCTATGTCCCTTTGGTCATTATTTTTTGCCACACACATTAAATAGGAAAATACTCTGAGCATGCGCAGTGTAGTTTTTACAGTCACCGTTCACTTAGACAGTGAGAGGGAGGGGCAGGATCGGGTTTTGTCCCACATGGCTCTAAACAAACAGCTCAATAGGCACACACTGTAGACACTAATTAGAAGAACAAATACTAAAACAGCAATGTACAGACGAATCAGATGATTAGACATGATCTTAAAATATATTTTATATATATTTTAATTTATTTTTTGCATTTTGTTGTAATCATTATTTTAATACTTTCTGCTGACACTAGGTGGGGCTGTGCCCCTAATGACCAGTCGCCACTGTTTGTGTAGCATATAAAATGAATTTGCTCCCAGACATTCATGGGGCGTGCTAGTTTTGGACCCCATCTGTAACCCCGTCTTTTACTGTACAGTTTTGCTGTTATGCTGCTGTGTTTGTTGTATTTTTGTGGCTCTGGCACAACAATTTCCTTCAGGATAAAGTCTTATCTTATCTTTAGGTTTCTCCCAGAGTCCGCCCGCTGGCTGATCACCCAGGGCAGGAAGGAGGAGGCGCTGAAGGAGCTGCAGAGGGCTGCCCGGCTGAACGGGACCACGGTACCAGAACATCTGCTGGACAAGGTGAGCTGTGTCAACGCTATAAACCTACGGAAGACGATTGGGGCCACATGAGATCATTTTTTGGAGATCTGCTAAAAAGGTCAGAATTCTGAGGGGACAAAAAATGAATTCTGAGAAATCAGAATTCTGAGTTTAAAGTGGAAAAAAAGTAAAAAATCTGAGGAAAAGTACATTATTTTTAGAATAGGTTATTATTATTACTCTTCCTTCGCGTCGAAAGGAGCCAGTTGAGGTGGTTCAGGGCACCTAGTTAGGATGCCACATGGGCGCCGAGGTGTTCCAGGCACGTCCAGCTGGGAAGAGACCAAGGGTTAGACCTACAGTAGGACCAGGTGGAGGGATTATATCTCTTCGCTGGCCTGCTGGGAGCGCCTTGGGATCCCCCAGTCAGAGCTGGTTGATGAGGGGAAAGGAACGTTTGGGGCTCTCTGCTGGAACTGATACCTCCGAGACCCGACCACGGATAAGCGGGAGAAGATGGATGGATGGATAAATCTATTCTAGTAGACCTCAACAATGGAATTATGATCAGTGCAAATGGCCATGACAGGTCTCCTTTAATAAAATGTGGCCTCGTTTTTTTTCCTCTCTTTATGAACCCTCCAGGGCTCCGTAGAATTGTTAGGAAAAAGTAAATTCTCTGAGAATAAGTCAGAAATCTGAGAAAAAAATCTGAATTTTAAGAAAAGTTGGAATACTGTTTAAAACGTTTTTTTAAATCTAAAAAAAATTATACGAATCCTCACAATTCAGATTTTTTTTCTCAAAAATAAAAAAAATCAAATCACTTTTTATCCGATCTCAAAATAAAATCAAGTGGCCCTAATCCTCTTCCGTTTAAACCTCTTTGTGACACATACTCATTTTCTTTCTTTTCACTTCCTAAACTTGAGATTGAGGGAACATCCAGAAGAAGAAACGTGTTCGACATCTTCCGGATATCGTATTTGAGAAAACTTACTCTCATAATGGGCTACAACTGGTGGGTCTTCATAACAATTGCTCTGTTCTTTCTCAGTCAGTGAATCAGTATGACTAATGTTTATCAATGATATCTAATCGCCACGCTGTTAATTGTTCACATTTGTCACATTAATCCTTGATTGGGAACTTGAACAAAATGTCTTTCTTATTCTCCAACTGTACCAGGTTTGCAGTAAATCTTCTCTACTACGGACTGACCCTGAATGTGGGCAGCTTTGGCCTCAATATCTACCTCACACTGTTCATCTTTGGAGTCGTCGAATTTCCTGCACGGGCTACTTCTTACGCTCTGATGCAACGCATCGGAAGGAGGACAGGACTAGTGGGCTTCCTTTTCTTCGGGGGAGCTTCTTGCCTCATGGTCCTTGCCATCCCAAAAGGTATATAGTACATGAAAACATTTGTTATAGACGTGTCGTTTTTTTCACGTTCACTATGTGTTGCAATGTATTATTTCCCCATCAGATCTTCCTGCCGTGGTGACAACCATAGCAGTCATCGGGACGTTTGCTGCTACTGCCAGTTTCAACATAATCTATGTGTACACTACAGAATTATACCCAACTATTTTAAGGTAATGTCACTCTTTTTCAATTGCATTTCAAGCGCTGTATGAACGCAGTCCATTCACCATTGTGTGTTCTTGCAGGCAGAATGGTTTTGGTGTGAACTCGATGTTTGGTCGCGTGGCGGGGATCCTGGCTCCACTGGCGAGACTCCTGGACGTCTACCATCACTCCATCCCCATGCTGATATACGGCATCGTGCCCATCACTGCTGCTGGTCTCTGCTTGTTACTGCCTGAAACCCTCAATGTGGAACTCCAGGACCACACTGAGCCCGAGTGAGTGCAGTATACACAGCTTTATTTGAAAAACAAATGTATAGAGAGCCTAAGTCCCGCCCTTCTACAGTACTTCCGACCCATGGGACCTTATTTCGGAAAAAGTATGTATTGAAGTCAATGGCGAGAGAACATTTTATCTTTCGATCCCGTTTGAATTGTGCCATGAATTACACATATGATGTTTGTCAATTTAAAAGATAATTTTGCAAGTCAAGAAAAAAAAAGTTTGTCGTAAAACTGTGAAGTAACACTTTGTTTTGTGTGAAACCGCTCAATGAACTACATCTCTGGTCCCGCACAACACACGTCACCAACACCAAGATGGCTGTCACCTTGGCACCTTTCACCTCTTTCTTTCAGATTGAGGTGAAAAGTATTACAGTAAACGAGGTGGAAATCATTACACGTCTGGGCATGTTGAGAGCTGCTATTACACAAAAGGGGAGTTAGTCTGTAAGAGCCAGCATGCGGGACCGGCGGTACAAGGTTGTACAAGGTTTCTGTCAGTCAGACAGCTCACGTCTTTGAGTTTGGCGACTTGGCTCGGGCATCATCACTCCATAGATATACATAGCACGATGAGTGATGATTAAATAACTAACCCCCGAGCCTGCAGGTGGAAGCTGGGGTGGTGGTGGGGCAGCAAGCAGCAGCGACGTGGAAGTAGCTGCAGCAATAGCAGCAGCAAGCAAAGCATAGAGAGATATCTGGCAGGTTAAATAGAGCGGCATATTAAGGAGACTCTGTTGTAGAGCGGCAAGGGGCGTTAAGTATGAATGCAGCATAAGTGCTCGAGTTGACTGCCTGAACTAGCTTGCAGGCTTCGCCCCATTTATGACATCACTTGCTCTTGGACTTTCTTGACTTGGAAAACATTTTTTTTAAATTGACAAACATCATATGTGGCACAATTCAAACGGGATCAAAACATTATTTATCTCGCCATTGACTACCATACATATTTTTTCCAAAATAAGGTCCCATGGTGGTCCACCGGAAAGGGAGGGACTTAGGCTCTCTATTAGGTGTAAATAATTGCATATAACAATAATTTGTTCTGTTTTTAATTCTAGAAAACCATCAAATGGAGCTTTGGAGAACCGACACAGTGAGGAAGTCATTCTTCCTTTGTTATAGTCAGACAACTTTTCTACATGTATTTGCATTTTTTTTCAACCTCTTTTTATCGGTGTTGTTGGGATAAAAGTGTTATGTGAATAAAATGTAATTTACCAGAGCTTTGTTGAAAGTGTTGAAAAAAAAGTATTGGGGCAACAATTTAGCTTCAGGGGAAACCTGAGATATTCACACAGAAATTACAACTTTATATAAATTAATAAAAGGCAAATAATTCATATTATTATTATTAATATTATTATACAGACATACAATTCCAATGTGTTTCGAATCTACATTTGCAACAAAAAAATTAGTAAATGTTTGGATCTTTCTGCATACCCAGGATTTTAATATCAAATCTGTTACTTTTTGTATTCCTATTTGTCAAACCTATTTTTAATTAACACTGTGACCAAAAGATAGAATCTTCCAAAAAGTTAACTGTGATTCGTTGTGGTAATTCTAAACTAAACAAACGGTAAATGATCAAAACTGATTGATTAAAGTTAAACCATTGAAGCAATAGGCGGGTTATGCATCAACACATTATCACGTATTATGAACACACAGATTTAAACACTCGTTGGTGCCTCAAACGCATCGTCATGATTCTCCGTGTTCACCGTTAAATCAGCTGAGGAGAGAAACAAGACACAGTTTTAAATGAAGGGATGCCACATTAATAACCATTTATGAACAACAAAAGGATATATATGGTACTCACTTTGTTTGAGTCTCTATGCCTCCGACTCACTGGACACCGCGTCAGCAGAGTTTCTCAGAAGCCATCGGTTCTTGTGTTGAACGTGTCCGAAGCCTTCGTCGTAGTTTCCCTTTCTTCTGAACAGTTGTTGGTAGTGAAATATGCAGTAGAACTCCCCATGCAGTGGTGAGTAATTTTGCATGCTACAGTACAATAAGCAAAATAGTTTAGTTAAAGTTATGTTTCACTGTTCTGCTGTACCTTAAACCCCGATCCAAACGAAGCTGATTGGTCTTTGCTCAATTTATATGCGGTGGTGAAGCAACATTAAAACGGTTAATCATCTGTTATATTTGTCTCTATTAATGTGACAGTGTTTTTATTTTAATTGAATAGCCATATCTTAAGGTAGCTTATCCGTGATACAGTCTTACCGGTATAAGAAATAATGTGTTTTACAGTTCAATAGTCTGCTATTCAGGCTTATGCCAAGTTCATCCATATTTCAATAACAATCCGTTATCCGTTGTAAATCATTAATAATTGTTGCAGTTGATTGATTTGATTATGTCGGTGTCTCACCTTAACTTTTTGTTGCACTGTTTACAACAGAAGCAAGTTTGGTGAAAAATGTATTTGTCTGCGGTAATTTTCTCCATCGGATAAACCGGCTTCGAACAGGCTGAACACGTCTCTCGACAAGCCGGTTGAAACTGATGAAAGAAATGAGCTTTGTTAAAAACAAAAATACTTATAATAGGTAATCAAAAAAACACAAAGCATGAATGAAAACCAATGACACGTCTTTAATTTCAAATGCAAATCAAAAACAGTTTTAAGATGACAAGAGACCAATCTCAACCATCAATAGAAAGTATTTAGAAACATATCTTCACAAATAAAATGTACACAACAACTTTGTCAGAAAACGTATGAGGAAACGCATTCAATGGGTAACAAACTTCTCTTTCAACACATTATTTAAAGTCTTTAATCGATCGGCATCTAAACCTCTGGGTACTTCCTGTGGATATTGTTCCTAGCTAACCAGTGACAACAGTGGGACATTAAAACCCAATTTCCAAATGGTTCAGTCCTCTCATAGTTGTTTGACGGTCTTCGAGCCCACGATACTTTTCCCCTCATGGTCAGTCTGCACCTCGAGGACACTCGTCTCTCGTTTAGGGTTGCTTGACGATTGTTTTTTACCTCCTTTTCTGGGGTCCTGCTTCCTGTTTTGAGCGGGGCTGTTGCACGTCACGGTTTTAGTCGACCTGAATCTCTCCTCTGTCTTTGGACTGTTCTGACATTTCGGGCAGATCGTGGTCTCAAGCAACTCTGTGTTCTCTGTCTTTTTAGCAGCTGATTGGATAGAGATGAAGGCAGGAGAAGATGGAGGACTTGCTTGAAGTTTTGCAGACGCTCCTTCACCCTGACTAACTAGCAGATCTGAGTGTCCTTGTGCTACCGTGCTAACCTGTGTCTGCAGTGGTTTTGTTCTGCTTGACTCGATGCTAATTTTGCTAATACCACCAGACGATGGGGGCCCTTGATCTACCGCTAATGACTCTTTGAACAGGCGCGATAAACCAGCGATATCTGCGTCGGATTTCAAAGTAGAGACAGAATAAAGAGCCTTCTTAATCCTTTCCTCTATTTCCACAAGTCTTGCTAAAGTATGTTCTTTAAGAGTTGTGATCTCCTCACTGGCTCGTTCAAGATTTCCAAACACATGTGACATTGAAGACTTGCTTTCGGTGTTGTTTTTCGTTAATGGCAGCTTTCCTTCTTTGTTTCCTTTTCTCTTTTTCTTTTGTTTCTTTTTGCCGGGGATGACGACCCACTCTGGTACGTCCTCGAACACTTTCCTTAAACAACTTACATCTACCTCGCTTGTGTCCTGTTCAATTTCTTCGACTCGACTGAGAATGCTCTGCAGTTCCTCCTGCTTTCGCAAGTTGTCAAAGATATCCATGGCTGCGGTCATATTCTCCGTCATGATCACATCCATGTGGACTGACAGACGCTGTCGACGTTCGACCTCTGTCTCAGTTCTTCCTTTCTTCTCCCTCATCTCGACTTTAACATCTTCTTTCTTTACTTTCTCCTTCTTGCTGTCAGCGGTTTGTTCGCAGGTGTTTGGCTCACTGCAGGACGAACCAGGTACAGTTGGTTCCTCAGCAACATGTGCAAGAATTGAGGTGTTATTGCCAGACTGTTGTTTTTGTTTTTTGTTGTCCACCTGGGCATTTCTTTTTGGCTTTATCGGAGCCTTCTTCCCTGAAGCTGCCTTCTCACCTTCAAATTTCTTACATGCTTCCTTAAAATCTACATGGCTTTCATCTGTTTCATTCATATTCTCTTTGATTGGGGAATCCTTGGGGCTCTTCTCTTCGTCTGTGACGTTTATCTCCTGTTGTCGCCTAATGTCATTCTCAGTTTCCAAGATAACGACTGAACCTTGAACTTGATGCCTCACTTCACTTTCCTCAGACATTGGTATGGCTTCATCAAAAGGCTTTTTGCTTTCAGGATTCACTGAACCCGACTCTGCACAAACGTCAGCTTTGAACAGACCTTGCTTTTGTTCATCCTTACATGACACCAGTGTTTTGGGCAATGGTTGAGGAACTGTTTCTTCTACTTTTACAGTAATAGTTTGGGTTGCCTCAGGATTCTTTGTATCAGTTGACTGAATCTCTCCTTGTTTCACTTTCAAATGCTCAGGTTTGGGTGGGATGGCTGGTTTTGGAGCCACAAGTATTGTAATGCTTTTCTCTGAGACATCCCTTGTATCTGGTTTATCTTTGGGCTCTGCATGTGTAGATGTCCCCTGTTCTTTAGAGAGCTCTTGTCTCACTGGTGCTTGAGTTGGATCAGGGTCAGTCACGGGGCAAAGCTCCTCCTTAGTGGGGATTTGAACAGACGCTGTATTCAAATGTTGTGATCTTTGAGGTTTGGACACATTTCTGTATATCATGGCGTCTCTGAAATCTCCCCTGCTGACATTGATGTTGGATTTCTGCAGGGAGTCCAAAGCAGCTTGACGTTTACCGTGAAAAACAACTTCCTCTTCCTCCTGCTGAGCCTCGATTGTTTCTGGAATATGTTCAGCAGCTTGCAAGTGTTGTTTCTGGAAGACTTCTGCTTCTTGACCCATTTTGCGGCATGTCTCAGTAGTTTCTTCTTCAGAATGACTATCTTTATGGCATGTCTTTGTGTGAGGTAATTCTCCATCACCTGCTTTAATTGAGATGGGTTCTTGATAGTGAAGTCTCTGTTTTGAGAGTGCTGAGTGATGCAAAGATTTGGCCTCGATTGTGGCCTGATGGAGGCTTTGCATTGCAGTTTGGAGCTCAGAAATCTCCTCGTTGTTATCTACCACCTCGACTAATTCAGCCTGGTGGACCTGACCATCGTCCTGAATGCCAAAATGTAGGTTTGATCCCTTTGGTGCAACTGTAGAGTTACATACCTCAGGTGTTTTGACATCCATCTCTGTAGAGGACTGGCTCTTTCCAAGACCTGTGACTGCACAAGAAACGGGGGCACGATTTTCCCATGCATTTGGTTTGGGCTGGATTGGTCTTTGATCTCCAGAGAAGATGTTTTTAAGCCTCTTTATATCCACTGGGACCCATTCTGAAGCACTCTCCTCTGCTTCATCACCTCTCTGTTCATGATGCAGATCCATTCCTTGTTCAGCCACATTTTGACTTGGAGGGAGTTCTTGTTCTTGCTCGGTTGGCTCCGCCTGAAGAGTTTTCAAATACTCCAAATCACCCTTTTCAATACAACTCTTGAACAGTTTAACGTTCCCTTTTACTGTGAATTCAGGCCGCACTGATCCTTGGTCTTTGGGAGTTTCTAGAAGGCAGCTCTTGGTTGATGCAACAAAACCTTTTTTTAGTTCTTGATTGTCGTTTTTTCTCACATCTCCTCTTTCCTGCTCTGGTTCACAATGCTTTGCACCTTTTGGAGGACTGTAACTCTTCAAGTCGTCCACATCCAAATAATAGTAGAGGGAGTAGACTATGACTTTAGCCCCTCCGTCTGTATCCTCCTGGATTATCACTCCTTTCCGCAGAGAGTTATCTTGATTGAGAATATCCTCGACAAGCTGAGCCATGTTGGCGGTTTTAAACTCTGTGTCTTGGTTGGTACTGAAGTGATGATGCTGCACTGGTATCTTCACCAAAGTGGCCTCGATCTTTCCTTCCCTACCCTCCTTCAGATAAGTGATATGAGGCTTTAAGTTTGACCGTGGTAGCAACTGGAGTATGAAGTTTTGCGCACCACCTTCAGCCACCTCGTCGTATTTGATCTCAGGCCCATCTTCTGATAGAGTGAATCTGGCCTTTTTAGCTATCATCGTCTCATTGACCTCAATGATTGAGCCATCTGAATGTATGGCATTAACTTGATAAAGGGAATTCAGGGTTTCCTTGATGTTCTCAACCTGCCACTCAATGTCATCCTTGTTTTGATTCCTGATTTGGTCAAATGGCATTGATTCAAACAGGTGAGCTCTGTTTTTGACATTAGCTTTCACCTGGTCCTGAATTTCCCCACCGTCCCGTGCTGGGCTTTGGTTTTGTGATGAACGCAGAAATGAATGTTCTCTTTCTATGTTTGTTGGGATGAATGGGTTGTTTTGGGAAAGAGCCGCACTGGTTTTGATGATTTTCTCTGGACCAGGGATGCTTCTAGTCTCATCACCAAAGGGTGTTTCACCAGTGGAAACCACATGGTCAATGCTTTGGCCAATGATAGGATCACAAGGACCTTGTTTTTTAGGTTGAGTTATCACATCAAGACTTGTGGTGTGTAGATTATCTTGTCTACGCATGTTAAACTCCTGTTTTTGGACTGCCCCTTTCTTATCTCCAGAAACTTTTCCTTGGCAGTTATTTTGGGAAATGGTGCAGATGTGTTCACAGACTGACTCTCAAATCTCCTCCTGGTAGCCTGAACATCTATTCTTACCATGTCCTCCTCACACTCTCTGTTTGGATCATGACTAGGTCTGATTGTTTTGTCAGTACAAGACCTGTCTTCATGCTCCTGAAACACAGCTGATGATTTACTGACATCGCCTCGTTCCACTGTTCCCTCTGCTACGTACTTCTTGGGGATGTAAGGAGATACTTTGTTGGTAAGGGCGCAGTTCTCAAATATCAAGCATCTTGACAGGACCTCTCCCTCGTATCCCGTTTCACCATCTGTCTCTAAACTCAAAACCTCAGCAAGCTCCTCGTCCACCACTCCATCCAGCGTCTTCAGCTCGGGGTGAGTGTGCTTCAGGAGCCTTTTCAGCTCGCATTTCGCCCGCTGTTGGTGTAGCTTTTCTTTAGAGAGTTG